GACTAGGGGTCCTAAGTTCTACAGCAATACAAATAATAAATAAAAAATAATAATACATAGTATATGACCAATAATACCTACTTTATACCCTGTTTTTCAAAGACACACTGCACCCCAGCAAATACTTGAAAAATATGGTAACAAAGTTCCCAAAGTTGCAAGACAAATGCAATTTGTTTGATGCCGATATTTAACTTTAGGGTTCAAGTGTCTGGGAAACTCATTAAAGGTATCGCTTCCCCAGCACTGAAATGAACACAGACCAGAGAGATGGAACCGGTTCATGCACAGCCTTCGGAGCCCAGCAGAAACTGGGAGGAAACACTTGTGAAGAGGCCGAGGTAGTGAATCCATGAACAGCATCTCATCTCCATCATCTATTTTTATGCTAAAAGGGACTCCATGTGGGAAGAGAATTCCAGTGGGGTTTTCTGTGTTGGCCCTTTTCATTGGAAAAAAAAATAAAAGGAAACACATAAGATAGACAAGTTGTAATGGAACGTTTCCTACATCCCCTATGGCTATCTCAATTTTCCCAAATGACTGCTGCATGAAATTCAGAAATTAAAGACTGGGATTTGAGAACAAAATTATAAATTAAAAAAGGAGATATTTAAAAGAGAATTTGCTAAGGGTTTCATTCTTTCCCCACTGTGCAGCAAAGAGAGCAAAAATACAATCCAAAAGAGGAGAGAAGAAGTCAGAGGGGATTAGAAAGTCCAGTCTTTCAGCCTGTCTCCCATTTTGCTAATTTTTACAGTAGGTTATTTAAGAAGCAGTAGATGTTCCGATAGAAAGCAGGCAGCAGCAAACACAGGCATCGTCTCCTCCTTCCAGCGAGGTCTGTGCAATCCCAGTCTCTTGCTCCAGGAAGGAGAGGTTTTCCTTCCCACACTTGTCACCTTCTTCTAGTGTGGGAGAGGGGAGAAGTGCCTGCCAGAGATTGGGGTCTGGCATTTCGGAGGCTCTCCTCCCTTCGCTGGGCTAGAAGGAACTCAAGTATTCCAGTGCAACCTCATATACAAATTTATATTGTTCCTGAAAGAGAGAAAATAAATCGGTGGCATTAAGATACAGGTAAATTCTACAGAGCCTCATTCTACAAGCTGCTAAATATGCCTCCTCCCTCTTTCTTATACCATTTGGCAGGACCAGGCAAACATTAATTGCATTTCTGTGTGATCCTGAATGAGCATTACTAAGAGATGGTATCATCAACGGAAAAGAAAACGCTCAGAGAGCCAGCTGCTGTATGGACTATTCATTATTTGCTTCATGCCCTCAATGGCACGCATTGCTTTTGAGGAAAGAATTCAGTGGGATCGATTGAGATGATTGAATCCAGGACAGTTTAGTCTTTCTGGTTGCAGGGAGCAAGGCCTGGGGTTGGGACTGTTCTCCCTTCCCGGTCTCACGGCATGTCACAGCATTAAGCACTGGGCTGTATGTGTGCGCAGGAGGACAAATCCCACCCGTTCCCCCCAGCCACGGTGACTGCTGGGTGGGGTTTAACCTCCCGGAGGCAGCTGGGCATGGGAGACAGCGTTCATCACACTGCCAAGGCAGCTGTTCCCCTCTGCTCAAGGAGAGAAGCCGTGGGACCAGAGGATTCACTGCACATGTTAAAATGGGTCTGATTTTAATCCTGATGGCTTCATGTTATGATTTGTTTTGATCCATCCCAAGCTAAGCCATGGAATTTTTTTACTGATCCTAAAGTCCCCCTGAATACACCGGGTGGGATAAGGTGCAGGAAAAACCACTTACCAGGGACTCCACCATGTTGGATTTGTTATTCCGTAACGTTTTCACTATGTGGAACACATCGATGATATTTTGCTGTTGGATCATCTCGCACACGCTGCAGATGGCGCAGAAGGTGCCGCTGCGTCCCCCACCGTTCCTGGGAGCAGAAGAGAAGAGGCGGCGGGTGAAGGCAGGCAAGGAGGAGGGGAGGGAGCTCAGCCCTGCAATACGGCTGCTCGCGCGCCATGTACACCCAGAAAGGTCTGGAATTGCAGGACTGGTTAAGGACCTTCAAGGGTTTGTGAAAGCGGAGACCTGCAGGGCAGGAGATGGGGACAGAAGGGCCGAGGCGATCCCTGGCAGTGGTGGCAGGGAACCCCAGGGACTGCAATGCTGCTCCTCGCTGCTCGGGGACCCGCAGCAGCTCTGGGGGCAGTGGGACATGTGGCAGTGCTGCTCTGGTTGTGTCTGGGCTCCCTTCATGGACCTGCCTTCACAACAGAAAGCGGCAGAGCTTTCTCAGCTACTCTGCACTGCAATCAGTGCAATCTCTGGATATATAGGATGCTATAATGCGGCACAATATTCACCCTGAAGTGTATTATAAATGTAATTTAACTTAATTTTCCCCAGCTGAGACCTGGCAAACCACCCAATTTCCAAAATCAGTGCTCTTCAGCCAGCATTTTGTGAGGCGACAGACATTCTCCAGTCCTACTTACAGGCAGTGGACAACAGTCCGTCCGTCTCTCCCATCGTACTGCTCCTGCCACTTCTCCAGCCTCCTGACCACCTTCAGGAGGGAGCGTTTGGAAGGAGGGGTGTCCCTGTACGCTGGCCAGCCAATGTACTGCAGGTGCTGAACGATGCGATATCCATCCTGAGGCTAAAACAAAGAGGATTTTCAAGATGCTAAATGGAACAGGGCAGGGAGCAAAGAGAGCAAAGCAGGGGGCACCAGTTACACAGCATCTTCCCCTCTGGATCCAATATCATCAGTGCTAACATCCTCCACTCTGGATACCTGGTACAGTGGGGAAACAAGGACTCTTCAGTCATCTGGATAACAATGATGGCCTCAGATACTACAGAGCCAGGCAGAAACAAGGTGCATAAGATCCCTTTGTTTTGTTTCCAGTAGAGAATAAAATCTCATCAAATTGTATGAACACATCAAACAGAACAAATGTGTCTTTCCTGGTTGCCTGTGCTGGAGATCAGTTTTGCCATAAGAACTAAAGGCAAAGAAGGACCTCAAAAATCTCTGGGCGCTGTGACAGGAAAGGGTCCTCAAAGACTTTAGCAGCGGCTATCGGTGTTGAACACAGATGGGTGCAGAGAGCTGGAGTTCACAGCACCCACCCTGCCAGTGATGCATTTACGAGCCAGCTTCATCCTGAGAGTCACAGAGCCTTAGTCTGATTAGCTGTGTGACTTCAAGGCTGTCCCCAGTTCAGAGGCTGTTGGCCCGGGAGATAGGCAGGTGAATATCTAACTGATTTATCAGTTTGTGTGGCTGGACCAGAAGGTTCACTCTCCAATGCCACAAATTGAATTGCTGCCCAGGCTCTGACCACACAATCAGATACTGATGTGTTAACCAGCATGAAAATGTAATTCGTGGTGTCTGTTTTCATTTCTGATTAGAAAAAATGAAAAATGAAAAATAAAAAAAAGGAGACATAATCAATCTGGGAAACAAACAAGGAGAGAAAAATCCTCTAGGTATGAAACTCTTTCCTGCAGCCCCAAAGTCACATTGCCAGGGTCCAGCGTGCAGATAAACTTTGCTTCTGTCACTTCAGCTGTCCTGGGGCTGAGGGATCCAGACAAAGAGTTGCCTACAGAAATGGCAGTTGCTTATTCATAGGAAAAACAGTGGCAACTGGGAATCCCAGTCTAGCCAGTAAACATTGCATCTGTCTTCAGAGACGCTGCATAGCAGTTGACAGATGGAATGCTGCTGACACTATCCCAGTTTATTTCCTACAGTACTGGTGGTTTTATATTGGCTACTAAGTGATTAATTGTTCTCAAATATACAGAGAAAAATGTTTTCCATTTAAATACAGGTTTTCAGCTCATACCATCAACTTTCTACTTTCAGCCAAGAAAATACAGACTGATGCAATTAAATGTTAATTGAAGGAAGTAGCTACTAAATTCTGCAGTGGAATTTTGTTCCTACATGAGAGATTCGGCGTCTCTAAACACAAGTCTTGGTTCTGCCTCTTCATCATGACAAAATATATTTTTTGAGAATAAATAGGGACTCTGGTGTTTGACTGATCTTACCCTGGCCATGTTGCAGATCCGGAATATCCGGTTGATGATATCTTCATCAATGTCTGCTGAAACAAACTCTACTTGAATTGGGCCATAACAACAGGATGTCTTCTCTGGCCAGTACTGCATGCAGAGCTGGAGAAAATGTCAAAAGAAATAGAAAACACCTTAACTAGTAACAAGAAAACACACGTTCAGTCTTCCTTCCTTTCAAATTACTAGCCAGCTCAAAATCCATAACCAATCTTGTATTATGTGTGTTTGCCCACAGAAGACCTCCTTCTAGCTAAGTAGAAGTTTTTTTATATCATGAATATAAGGAAACCAAGAAATGTATTTTAGAAGCTTGACTTTCTTTTCCCTTTTTATTTTTTGTATGACCACAGTTTGTAGCTGATTGAATTCTGGGGTCTAAAGGTGCAGAGAAGGCGGCTCACAAATGAAGATTCTGCAGGGGTATAGATTTCAAATGAGCATTAAAAGATGAGTGTCTGTAGGTAAACTTAATAGGAACAACAGAGGTTTAGTGCTAATGAGGAAACAGTACATGCACCAAGAAAATTAATCTTAATTCAATAAAAGTGGAACTTCCTTTTGCTGTAAGATCAACTTTTTAGCTTTCTGACTCTACCAGCGAGCAGAGGAGGAGAACGAGTTTGCTCCAAGAGCAACTCTGATTTCAGGATGAACCACAACTGAATCTCTGAAGTTTGTGAAGCAGGTTGGAAGTCTTTCTTCTTATGCTGATATTACTGAATTGAAAGTACAAAAAATAATCCTATCCACATAAATTAAAATGCAAGTATATCAAATCCATCTGGAAATAGATCATGGCAAGAAAATATTTTGCATGAGATCTCATTAGCAGTTTCTGCTGAGATTGTATTTCTTTCTGGTTTTTTCTTCCTATTTTCAAGTGCAATTTTTCAGACGTTTTGAAACCCCCAGATGCTCATTTGAACTTGATCCCAAGCTTTTCAAGTTCAATCATTGCCAGTAATAACGTCAAGTGTGTGCATGCTACTGCATTAATTCTGTATTCTTGTTATTCCTTTGATCATATGGGATTGAAATTGGGTGGGACATTCACGCAATCTTATGCATCTTTGCCCTTGTTAGTTTTTCAAGACTAAGCAAGCTAGCCAAGACCACATAAGCAAGTCCTCCTTTGAAGGCTGTCTTTACTCTTCATTCAGACTTTCAAGCAGCCTGCAGATCTCCTCTCAAAGCATCAGTCCAATAGGCAAGGAGATCTGAGCTGTGCAGGTGCTTTAGGCAACAACCTCAAGGTGCATTGGAAAGAAGAAAGAGATTAAACCTTTCCTTAATATTGAAAATCTGCTTTTCATAAAGCAGGTCTGTGACTGGCCATCTACCCAAATGTATATACAGTGCTTAAAATTGTCCGTTATGTTCTCTGACCTCCACATGGTTTTATCTGCACCCCCTCCCTGCATAGTGGATTAAAAGTTCACTTCTTTATTTCAACTCTTTTCCTCTCTTCAGTTCAGGCACAGCTTCTATATAAGCAATTTTTGTGTTTGTGTTCTGCTCGTGGAGATGAGTAACACCCTGTTCATGCACACAAATATGGTATCTGCAGGCAACTGCACACCAACGGTTTCCTAGTGCTCAGGGCACAGCGTGTGGATTAGGCTATGATGAACAGCGAGATAATTACAAGATCCTCACGCAATGACAGTGCAGCACAGCATCATTAACTTTCCTTTTCATGAAACCTCACTTTCATGACTGATGTGCTGATCTGCTTGAGAGTAGGAAGGCTCTACAGTGGGATCTGGACAGGCTGGGTTGATGGGCTGAGGTTGATTGTACAAGGTTCAACAAGGCTCAGTGCACTGTCCTGAGCTTGGGTCTCAGCAACCCCATGCAACGCTACAGGCTTGGGGAAGAGTGGCTGGAAAGCTGCCTGGTGGAAAAGGAGCTGGGGGTGTCGATCAACAGCCGGCTGGATATAAGCCAGCAGTGTGCCCAGCTGGCCAAGAAGACCAACAGCATCCTGGCTTGTAACAGAAGCAGTGTGGCCAGCAGGACTAGGGCAGTGATTGTGCCCCTGTACTCGGCACTGGTGAGGCCGCACCTTGAATCCCGTGTTCAGTTTTGGGCCCCTCACCACAAGAGGGACATTGAGGTGCTGGAGGGTGTCCAAAGAGGGGCAGTGAAGTTGGTGAAGGGTCTAGAGAACAGGTCCTGTGAGGAGTGGCTGAGGGAGCTGGGGTTGTTCAGTCTGGAGAAAAGAAGGCTGAGGGGAGACCTCAGCACTCTCTACAACTACCTGGAAGGAGGTTGTGGCATGGTGGGGGTTGGTCTCTTCTCCCAAACAGCAAGTGGTAGGATGACAGGAAATGGCCTCAAGTTGCACCACGGGAGGTTTATATAGGATATTAGGAAGAATTTCTTTACTAAAAGCGTTGTCAAGCACTGGAGCAGGCTGCCCAGGGATGTGATGGTGTCACCATCCCTGGAGGTATTTAAAAGACTGTAAACTTGGTACTTAGGGACACGGTTTAGTGGGACTTGTCAGTGTTAGGTTTATAGCTTGACTCAGTGATCTTAAAGGTCTTTTCCAACCTAAATGATTCTACGATATCAAACTGTCACACTTTGCCTTGACAGCTCGTAAGATACAAACTTTAAAACCATCCTTAACTTCCAGTCCCAGCTGGGTGTTTTTGGCTTTGGCTGCTGACTCAAGCTAGGTGACACCATGCTAAAGTAACTGTCAAAGTGACTTTATGTATTGCCAAATCTCATTTTCTGTGTCTACAGACTACCTCATAAAAAGAAAACTTTGCTAGGAAAAAAAAAACAACAAACCAGTGAAGTCTTGTGCAGAAAGATAGTCGCAAGAATAATGCTGGCTGAGGACGATAGGTTTGTGTTTTCCAAGAACAAAGTGTGAGAAAGTGTGTCATTTACAGAAAAAGCTCTGTTTTCCTTTGAAGTGTCAGGAAAAAAAAAAAGAAAACACAAAATTCGCCTCTGGATTCAATGCCAAGATGCAGAGTCAGGCAGGGTGGATCAGACACGAGGCAGCAAACACACAGGACCTCCAGTTCCTCGCACAGTGGTGGGACCCTGCGGGACACCGAGACAGCCCACTGCGGAGCAGAGCTCTTTCTGTGGCTGGAAATGAAACCCCACAGCGTTCACCCTGAGGGGAGATCCTCTCAATGAACAGGGTGAGTGGTTTCTCCATTACCATCAAAAAAAGAGACCAATAATCTCACCGCCTTCAAGTGTGGTAAGATTTTTGAAGACAGAGAAGAGACAAATGAAAAATTAATCCACGAAGTAGCAGCTACTTGAGGGTTCCTCTCCTCTAGTTTAACAAGTGCTGTAATGGGTGAATTAGCCATGCCAAATGTACTCTTCACACAAATTGCATGATTACGCCTTTTTGAAAGCTGTTATCTTCTCCCACTCATCAGCAAGGTGGCTGGAAATGCAAGGACGGGAGGAATGGCAATGGCTCCTCCCCAGCAAGCTCAACTGCTGAAAACGATGATGTGTTTAGCAGCCAAGAAACCAACGCATGACACTAGAAAGAAAAAAAACAATACACAGCACAACATGCTTCTCCAGAAACTGTGCCAAGCACACTTCTCAGTGTTACAGAATCGCATTGGAAATATCAGGGAGAAGATCCTTCGAATGATTTCAGCATCTCTCCTGGTTTTATTCTTCTGGGAACGCCATGTGGACAGGCAAGCATGAAGCACACCGGGGCTGTGGTAGGGAATATTTTTCTGAACCAAAGGCAGACAAAAATATGTAAGGGGAAAAAAGGGGGTTTCGAAGAAAGATTTAGGCCCAGAAACACAAAGTATTTAGATATCCCTGTTAATTGCAGGAAGAATTAGCTGCCGTGGAAGGAGCCAAGCATGTGGATTTATCTTTCGTTATACCCCCAAACATTACCTATTACTTTCCAGTTCCCCTTAATTTGTTTATTGGGGTGGTGAGGGGGGGGCAGAAGAAAATGGCAGCAGAAACGCTGTTGAAACCATCTGGATTTGAGAAGAAAGTTACATGACAGAAATGATGAAAAATCACTAACCTGTGCTGCATCCATCTCGTTCAGCATCACAACCGAGGAGCAGTTATAGTCAAACACCAGCCTCCAGAAGTCTGCTATGGTGTTGGGCAAAGGGTGTTGGGTTACAATAAAGGCAGCAGGTTGCTTGTGGCTCTAACAAAAGAATAAGATTAGTTAAAAAAAAAAATTCAATCAACTTTTATTCAAACGAATATTATACCCGCGAGGCTATGGCTAGGCAATCTGAGCCATTTAACCAGATTATACAAATCACACATCCTTCTCCTTGTTATCGCTCTGCAATGAATGAATGTCTCATAATGGGATTCTTTTGCTCCCAATGAAGACATTTCATTAAAGAAGTGTCACAGGAGCAGAGATTACCCAAATCAATTATTTATATTTTGAGACTCAGCAAATAATACTAATTCTACTATTACTATTACTACTACTATCAGTAATATTAATAATTGGAAAGAAAACAGCTGGAAGCACATGCTATTCTTCTGGCTGCAAGGGACTCTAGGAACGACAGAAGGGATTAGCCCCCCTGTCTGCTATTGCTCCCTGGTGATGTAGTGCTACAGAGGCAGCACATTTGGACCCCGGCCATCCTTAAAGAGCTTGTGGGGCAACATTCAGAGCCAGCAGCATTGGCATTTGATTTCTGATGCTATTCTTTCACCTGAAAAAAGCCCTCTGACCTCAATCTCCCTAACCACAAAGCAGAGGAACTGTGCTCCCAACCCCTGCGGGGCTGTGCTAATGAATGTTTGTGAGGCACTTGGAGATGAAAGGCTGCAAGCTCAAAACTCCATCACTTTCCAACCGTGACAGGCAATGCTTAGATGAGCCTACAAACTGCACGGTCTTTTGTGCTGTACATCCATGAAGCAGACTGGAATCAAAAGGCACAATACTGAGTCTTATCTCCTAACTGAAGTTAAGAACATGATAATGTTTCTGTTACGTTTTTTCATTGTGCACTGATACAGCAGATTGCACAATTGGCTAAACTGTCGGCTGAAGATGTATCTGTGGGTTTTGCCGTTAGGAGAAAAAAGAAACTTGCTTTCTTTGCCACAGGTGAGGAACCTGTCTCACTTTCCTATTTTAAAGGGAAAGTGGCACAGATGTTAGTTACTCATGTAAGAGGACATGTGTAGGACCTTGGGACACGTCATGGACTCACGTCTCTCTCCAAGCCCCGTGCATTAAACACAAACCTAACACCAGTTCTGTGTGGCTTGACTCTGAGATGTGGGTAAAGTCTCCTTGCTTAAGGACTACGTTCGATTGCTTTAGGGGAAGGTGAGGGACAGAATTTCACCTTTCTTCTTAACAAACCATTCTGCAGATGCAAACAGGGCTTTCCAATGATTCTCACAGGAAAGATCCTAAGGGCTGTTTACTCGAAAGGGACAGAGGACCTAAAGAGGAACGGTCAGGAGTCTCGAAAGCTGCTGGAGGAGAATTCCTCCTCTCTGAGGGTGACAGAAAACATTCGTCTGTATTCCCAAAAGTGAACTCAAGGAAGAAGAGGCTGGTTTTTAGTGCTCTGCAGTCAACAGACAGTCTTCACCGGAGAACTGGGAGCCCACACTGAATGCTTCACCCAAGGGAGGGTTCCAATGGCATTCTGTGTCTAAGGTCAATTTTGGTGAACACAATCCAGAGCAGCCCGCCAGACTGCCTTCCTGGGACAATTCATGTTTCCAAACCCAGGCCTTAATCCATCCTAGGTGTACCCTCATCCCTTCCTGCTCTAGCATGTCTTCCATCATAGCTTTCATGTAATACACAAAGCAAGCTGCTGGTCAAATAAGGTTTGGGGAAAAGTTTAAAAAAAAAAAAAAAGATAAATGTGAAAAATGTGTAAGGCAAATAAAATGAAAGGTGGGGGGAAAATTCCCTTGTACAAAAATTTTAATCAGGAGGAAATTTGTGGGGAATGATACAAGTATTAGCAAAGTGATTTGAGGTAAGGAGGGCTGAAACATGCAAACACATTCCCAGTCCCTAAGAAACCAGAGAAGAATTGTGCTTGTGCAGATTTGCCAAAGCACAAAACACACTTTAAATAACAAAAAAAAGTTTCCTTAGGCATATTTGCAATGAAAACACCACAATCTTTCTGAAAAAAATCTAAAATTAATTCTATGACCATTTGACTTAACCTCTTAAATGCAGTAGTATCACAGTTCCCCAAAGGACTGAAAGAACAAACAAAATTAAAAGAGATTGACCCCAACATTGCTGGAGAAAAAATGATGACATTTCACCTTGGATCATATTTACACATACTCCAACTGCAATAATTAGTGGCTTTAGAGACATTTCTGTCCAAAGGCAGTTAGGCACTGCAGCAAAAATAAGCCATCAACATAATTCACCCTATGCACATGACCCGTGCTGTGAGATTCTAGCCTATAAACAAAGCAAGGGAAAATGCCTTCAGACAGATTCACATCAGCTTAGCTCGTGTCCTTCAGCCTTGAAGTATTTTGCACATCTGATCCCTGTCCTTCCATATTCTTAACTGCATAAGCCCAAATAAATCACTTGCTCCACACTACAAACTATTCTTTTCAAAGAGCTGACCTGACAGCTCCTGGCAAACATTTCTCTTCCAACTTACACAATCAATGTATGGGAAGAGCTGTCTCACCACTTCTTTGTCCGTCTGCCTTGCTACGATACAACCTCAGGCTGCTCATCAACTACTTTGTCAAAAATTTTCCACCACTGTGAGGCAGAACTGCAACGGCAGTGCGATAATCATAGTCTAGGTGACACACCTCTGTGTGCCTTTGCCCAGTCTGGAGGTGTCAGCCCCAGAAACTGCAGGTGAAAAAGGTTTTTTGTTTTGGATCCCTTTCTCCCAGAAAAGTATTCTGAGAACAAACTGGCTGCAGACTAGGGTCAGCGGGGACAGTGCAGTGCTGCTTACATCCATGAGTGCAGCATTGATGTAGTTACTTGATTCACCATCCACGGAGATGAGGAAAGGCAGGCACCGGTCCAGGGGCAACACATCCATGCAGCGGTTCTTGTCATGGTTCCTTGGCAAAAGACCAATGCTGCAATCTTCTGGCCGGACACGCGGTGTCACGATATTGAGAGTCTGTGAAGGGGGGAGGGAAGAAGAGAAAGGCTGAGCATCTTTGAATCTACTTCCAAGAAGGATGCCATCTGCACAATATGTTTATTTTAAAGGTACTTTGACTAGCAGATCTTTGGGACCCCAGAGGAAAGGAAGGAGCACCGAGGATCTGTTGTTGCTGTTTTAATACATTGCATTTCGCCCATCGTCCTGTGGCGCGCTTCCGAAACGGTGGTGCTTTTCCGAAAACCATAAGCTCCAGCAAAAATTGGGGGCACTAGACACTTTCCAACAATTTCCAGCTCTAAAAAAACCACAGCAGTTAGATAACATTTCTGTTCTTTCCTAAGGGCTGGAAATAGCTGTCACAGGTACAAGTTGCAGCTTTGACCTGGTCATGGAGGAAAATCTCCTTGTGTTCCCACCACCCGCAGGATGGAAGCACGCATCCTCCTCCCTCTCGAAGTGGATCCCATGCAGAAGTGCCCTGAGTATTGAACCGGCTTGCCCATCAGGTCAGACTGGGTCCAAATCCTCTAGTGATACTTCAAAGTATTGATTTATCTTAACAATGCATGTAAAAACCTCAGAGAAAATGTTGGTTTTTGCTTTTTAACACGAAAGTCTATTTGTTTCATTTATTATTTAGAAAAGAGGAGGGTCAAACAATCCAAGATAAAGGAATGTGTCCAAGCATAAAATCTGAAATAACGTAGTTGCTCTAAATTATGCAGGCACTACACAAAAGTCCCTTTGTCTAGAGATGGAAAGCAGGTAGTCTGGCTGGAGAAGCAACAGGAAATCTGTCAGTGCATATAATTAGGCACGTGTCTTGTTAGTGACTTACGTCTATTCTATGCCTGTCCCCTCTCTCCCTTATTTTTGTACTTATTCAGATTTCAAAATCTCCCCAGAAAGAGCTTTTCTATGTTCAGACAACACGTAGTGCATGAGAAATACATCCAGCCTTACCTGAGGGCCAGTGGGACCTAAATAATACAAATTGCACCAACAGATCTATAGTTAGATCAACTGGTTCATAAAGACTGTAGCACAAGATACCATCTTTTGCATTAAATCCAGACAACTAGGGCTGAAGAATGCTCTGAGCCAAAATCCTATAAAAATAGATTCTACAACTAGACAGAGAACGAACCTCTTATGCAAAGTACGGTGGAACGTTTCCTTCCCACAGGAGTTGCCAGCCCCTGGCAGCTCAAAAGAACAAGCACGCAGGCGACAAATCTTGCCTGATCTCATGACAAAATAAGCCCAGCAAGCAGTGACTTTATTTATTTTTTTTTTAATAGCATAACAGTGTTTGATGAAGTTAGGCTTTAGCTTCTTCATGCCAAGCATCCAGAAGCAGAAACACTTTTACAGATCTGATATCACTTGATAAAACCAGATCTTTTTTTTTTAATTGAACTGTCATCAGTTGGGATCCACATTCTTTATCTCACTATACCAACCCTGATGATTCCCTGTGAGCTTTCAGATAAAACCCACACGTTCTCCCTTTGCACAGAGAGCAAGGAAAAGAGGCATCTGACTCAGACTGGGGCTCCCAAAAGACGTTCTCCTGCTGCAAAAGATACTTCGCTGGGAAAGCAGGGGGAAACAACATTTCCTACAATTAAAGGAATCTCCACCTTTTTGCTGCTGACTAAGAATGGCCTCGTAAGAAATAAGGTCTCGCTCTCTTTCCTGTCAAACTCACCTTGCCCCAGATTTCCCACAATATTATGTTTTTACCATACATTGCTGTTGGCTGAAAATCCCAAAGGGATTTACAGATACGTGGGGAATAAGATGAGAAAGCTTAGCTCACTGTTCTGCAGGGCGAGTTCTCTGCTGTGCAAGAGGTACAACCGCCCACGGCTCATGGCTCGTGTGGCCCAAGCCCCAGTTCATTAGGGTGGGATAAGTGACAGTGACAGCAAAAGGCGGAGGGGTCCCCATTTCATCACTCGCCCCAGACAAATCACGCTACACCAGCACTTGTGAGCTTTACTGTACGTCACTTCATTGTCATAACCAGGTACTTGGCAAAACTTCTATAGTGAACTGAGGGATTCAATTCATTGAAAATTAGAAATAGCGAAAGCAATGCTCACTGAGCTCACTTTCTCCTTTGTATGGAAGGATGACAACAAGTTGATTGTCAAGACTCGGAAGCAGCATATGAGCCACGAGAATGGATAATAAGGGACCTGGAGGCATAAATGTTTCTGCATAAATTACAGAAGAAAACGAAAAAAAGGATATTTGTTGAAGTACAACATTATGTGTGAAAATTAGTACCCTTGCTCTACCGAAGTGATGGGGAAATCTTTTCCTTGCCTAAGGCTGAAAAGTCCATAGTCAAAACCAAATCTCTGCCTGATCCAGTAGTAAAACAACAAAAATCATCTGAAATCAGACCTTGGCTCAGTGTCCTGCTTCTCTGCTCTGCTGGAAATTGTAAAATAACACAGAGAAATTGATTAAACGCCTTCAGTACACCGACTGCAATGATTGAGACATATGAAATTACCTGAAACTCATCCTTTATCTGGCTGGAATTGGTCTGTGGATCTAGCCTGCTGATGTTATAATATATGGATCTGAACTCACAGACTGGAATGGCCGTGTTGCCACAGAGACATGCCTCCAGAATGGCATCATGGACAAACACATACTGCTCCTGCACAGGGGAGGGATAAGATATTAAAATCATATTTTCAATACAGATCATGAAATATCACACTTTTTTTTTTCCTTAAACCATGCCTGATGTGCATATTTGGCTCTGTTTCCTGTGGAGACAAATTACAGTGTGCTATGTGACAGCTTTGTGTGCATATTTCATCCATCATTGAATGTGAGGTCTCACGTACTCATCTCAAATTTACAAGTCAAATGGGAAGTCACCACTCTTGGGAACGCTGGGACAAAACGGGGGTGGGCTGAGGAGGAAATCAGAGTGTAAACCTTTTCTGTTCACTATCACGAGGCAACGGTCGTGAATGGATTGTTCTTTGGACCTATGATAACACCAGAAAAACAACTGTACTAACTGGTCTGCTCCATCCGTCCCTTCAGAACCCCTTGGTATTTTGGGTAAAGTTCTTTCCCTGAACTAAATACGAGAAGCCCACCAAAGGTAAAAGCCCTTTTCTGGTCCAGGCTATTGTCCCATCCCCAGGAGGGAGAGGCATTGCAGCACATACATAAAATCTGTGCAGCAGGATAACAGTTCCGCTGAAGTTTGTGCAGCTGCTAGATGCTACGTGATGGAGCAGCTTGCTTAATCAGCACCCAAAGCCTGAATCAAGGATGTTTCATTTGTTTAGCTTGCAATTGATATAAACTAGGTACTACTGGCGTCTGCAGCATACCTATGAATAAGTCATGAGAGGCTTCAGGAGCAAGCTTTTTTCTACTATGAGAATAAAATTAATCATCAGTGTTAAGACCTAAACTTCAAGGTTTGCCCTCTTGTCTTGGAGGCCCTGAGTAGCTGCCAGGGAAGGTGATTCGGTGCACATCTGGACACGTTTAGCCACCAAAAGTCCTGTATAATCATATCACAGGGCAAGCAAGTGTTGACTTAATGAATTGCTGGGCTCCTGTTGAGCGGGGAAGCTGACAGAAAAGCAGTACATCGTAAGATGAGACCTGCTGGCACCTACCTCTGTCTGCACCAAATTGACCCTTTGGGATCGCAGCTCTCGCACACAGTTAAATATATCCACCACACCTTCGTTCTCTGCCATGTCAAGCATGATGTCGATGGCAATAAAGCACCCTGTTCTGCCAGCCCCAGCACTAAAAAAATAGAAAAAAAGCCACGATCAAGGGACCATGGAGAGGCAGGGCTTATGAAGGAGAAACTGCGTCACAGTTGTCTTCTCTTGGAAGCTGCTCCCCCTCCCTAATGGGCTGATTTCTGTGTACAGCTAATTTAGCTTAGGATTTAAGAGAATGAGGTGAAATAATATTTCTTGAAAGGGAAATGGACCCACATAGCAGGAAAAAGTGCTGTGTTCTTGAACATCAACAAAAAAAATTACTCTAGGAAAATAATCATGATGATTTCACAGGTTGGTTCACCTGTACACCTCCTATTGCACAGGATGGGGGCGAGCAGCCTCCAGGTCACAAATAAACACAATCCCAGAATTTTTCTTCCACAAGACTCTTTAAAAGGCATGCGCACATTCACTCTAGTGGGCTCAGTCCTCTACCTCAAACATTTCTTTTCCCTTTTTAATCTGGAGGAGTTTGAGTCCCAAGGAGGGCAATTTCAAGTTGTGGATTGTAAAATCACAGAGAAAGGAGCTGGAGGCTACTGAAAACCTGCAGTTTAGAGCCCCCCACTGCTTGCGAGAATTGGGCCATCTCCTGCAAAACTGTGTTGCCATTGTGTCCTCCTTCCCTCCTGGGAAATCATCCAAGCTGCTTAGGTGTGAAGGATAGAGAGAGGAGAATGTCTCTTCACATTATGCCAAGGGAAGAAGGAAAATTCAGCTCAAATCAGGGAAACTTCAGTTGCATGAAAACTCCAGCAGAGCCAAAAGCAAGGAGATATGAATGACCATCAATTAATGGACCAGATTAATCAACTGCTGAATAGAGAGAAGATATTTTTCATTTGCAGAATTTTAATGAATAAGTGGCATTTCCTCTCCCTTTATCTCTCAGCTTTTCAGAATTTTAACAAATAGTTATACCATTTCTATATTTAGAGGATCCTGGCACTTCATAAATATCGAACAGTGATATTATCCAGCCACGCATCGGTAGGGAGAATTTGGTAATTACCACTTAAAGCAAGTTATTAAAATTCAAAAGCAGATAAATAACAGAGAGGAAATGGCATTTATTCATTAAAATGTGAAAGATGAAAAATTTCTCCTTGGTTTCTCGGTGACAATGAATCTGGCTCAGACTCCTTCCTGGGCCAGACCCATGTCACGGTACCAAGGCAGCAAATTCAGGCCCTGAGCTCTGAATGAATTCCCTCCTGCCAGCTCCTCAGGCTTCGCTGTATTTTATTATAAAACTGATTCACTGCTTGCTAAAAAAACAAACAAACAAACAAACAAAAAAACAAACCCAAACCAACACCCCCCCCAACCCAAAACTGTTTTAAAAAGGTACGATTCAATTGATTTTCCTTTTTAAAGTGGTTGTGGGATGTATTCTCTCTCTCTGATCACCCAGCATGGCACTCAGAGGTAACTGCCTGTGGATTGATTCGGGGTGAGATTTCGGCAGAGCCAGCTGTGCTCTCCAGCCACGTCTCCTTTACAGAACACGTGCCCTGAGCTATGGCCCGAGCGCTGCAGAAGCAGCTGCTACAAACCCAAACTCTGCTATTGTAGCAATGCCTTTCCTTGCATCTGAAGTCATCTAACTGATGCCAGTCTGTGTTGATGTGTCTGCTCTCCCATGACCAGCAGCCTGCCCGACCACACCTCAAACCGTTGGGTCTCCATGTCGGGGACACTCTCCTGCATATTTTCACAGCACCTTGCACAGCAGGGCTTTAAGCTCAGCGGGAAGAAACCAGTGCAGAAGAGCCCTCACCAGTAACAGCAGCAGCCGGGGAGTCAGCAAGCACGTGACTCAATAGTCTGAATTTTCACAGCTGTAAACCGAGCTGCCAGGTTTCCTCATGCATTGCCCTTACACTGACCGGCTGGAAGGCACCGCGCAGGTTTTCAGTCTGACATTCCCATTCCAGTCCCTGGGCTTCGAGGAGGCCAAGATGCTCAATGGCTGGCACCCCCACCCAGGACGACAGACGAACGTTTCAGATAAGGCTACTGATGCCGGTGCAAAGCTGAACTGCAGTGCACGTGGCCACAGAAAAGCAAAGTGGCTTTAAAATTCCCCATCTTCTTGTGGGCATTGTCCCTTCTGCCACGTGAGGTTTGCTGTAGCTAACAACGGGAATGGCTGTCCCAGATATTTACCCTTTTCCCAGCTCTGCTGTGAGCATCTAAGAGAGCACAGGCCACCAGAGAGTCTTCTACATCCGAATGGCCCTCTCTGACCTACTTACATCAACTCCAATTGCCAGCTAAGCTCCAGAGCTGCCACTTTAGAAAAGAAAACCAAATTCCACTTTGTTTCCTCCCGAGGCCCAGAAATTAGACTCGTAAACAAACAAAACACAGTTGGTTATTGCCAAACAGGAAGAAAATAGGAAAAAAGCTGAAAAGCTGATGGAGTAAAGGCTCAGACAAAGAGCTCACATACCTGCAGTGCACAACGATGGGTCCTGCTTCTGGGGGATTGAGGAACTTCACCTGGCGAACAAAGCCCAGGAGGCCCGTGGCGTAGCAAGGAACCCCGTGGTCTGGCCAGCTAGTGAAGTGGAACTGCCGAATCTCTCGGATCTCATGGTAGCCTTTCTGAGGAGACAGCACAGTCTCTATTTTTCTTCCATCAGACTGCAATCAGCATATTCTGACCACTGCTCCTCTCCCTCACAGAGCGGCTGAACAAGTGTTCAGCTCTCATCAGACATGGGAACGTGTCCCACGCTGCTTTCCACTCCAAGAGATTTCCATCTTAATTCCGAGTATAAATCATAGAATCACAGAATGGTTTGGGTTGGAAGGGACCTTAAAGCCCACCCAGTGCCACCCCCTGCCATGGGCAGGGACACCTCCCACTAGCCCAGGTTGCCCAAAGCCTCATCCAGCCTGGCCCTGAACCCCTCCAGGGATGGGGCATCCACAGCTTCTCAGGGCACCCTGGGCCACTGCCTCACCAGCCTCACAGGAAAACATTACTTCCCAATATCTAGTTTAAATCTGCCCTCTTCCAGTTTAAATCCATTACCCCTCGTAATGCCTTTATAAAGAAGTCCCTCCCCAGCTTTCCAGCTGAGGACTATGAAGGGGAACCCAGCTCCCAGTTCGAACTTGTGGTCTTAGACTTCAAACCCAGCTATTAAGAACTTCACTGGGTGACTCCAGTCACAGCACACCATGGCTGCACCTACCCATCTGCCTTTGGTGTTACTGCCGTAACCTCCAATAAATCACTCTGAAATCCTTTTTGAGGCGTTGAAGCAACAGCCTGGGGAACGAACACCTACAGAACGGGCAAGGCCCAGGCAACAGTAGATTTTCTGCCAAAAAAATCTCAGTTTGAGATAACAGCTGGTGGTGAAAGGGGCAGAAAATGGTGGTTTTTGTGAGACCAACTTATTGGTACATGAAAATTGACACCACTTGCATACGCCCTGCAGAGGGTAACACAGCAGTGTCAGCTAGCTGTGACATTTTATCGTACAGGAAATGTAGGTGGAATCCAGCAGCAGGTCCTCTCACCTGTCAGATTTTGGCATTAGCATTTCTTACCAAGTTTTTCAGTGATTTAATGAAATATGAAGCTGATGTATTAGAAAACTGGAATGATATTCCCAGTGTGGCTGAAGTTCATTTAGCAGGAACCTCTGAAAAGCTTTTAAAACCACTTACTGAGTGTTCAGAAAGTAATTTGGACAGACCTGGAATACTCCGACATTTAGACTTCCAATTTCTAATTACACATAACAAAAATCTTCCAAAGCCTGCTGATCTGGGGATAATTTTTATCCTCTTGCCTTTATTATATTTTTATTTCTGTTGAAAGGGGACCCTACCTGGCATCCAGTTTAGCTGGTACTGTTTTCATCTGTAATTTGCCACTGTGAAACACAACAGTTATTATTCCTGGCATACCACCAACTATTTGCTGGCTTTTGGATGCATTTAAACTTCACGCACTGTAGATTCTACTTTCATGGCTACATCAAGATGTTCATGTAAAATCATTTGTCCAAAATTGGAATATTTGTCCAAAAATCTAGTGAAACCATATAATACCAGCTCCCATCTCCAAGAGCATTCTGGATATGTTTCCCAGAGTTCACATTTCTGAACACAAATTAAGTTTTGTATCAAAATTTTCAGCTGACTGAAGATTTCCTTACCTTTTGTACAGTAAACGTGCGTATGACATACTCTGCCAATGGTTCTGTCTCAATTAACGTGACTTTAATATCTCCATAGATCTCTGTGTCATCTGGCCAGTATCGAACACACTTTACCTGGGGGGGGAAAATACAACATTAAGGGGACCTAGCTCAAGTTGAGTCAGAGCTGACCCACATTTTACTCCAGTTTCAAGCCGAAACCAACACAAATTGGGCTTTCTTCTGATGTACAGATCTTGTCAAAATTAACTGTATAAATTAGATCAAAATGCCTTTACTGTAGATAAAAAACACACGGAGGTTTTTTTTCGGTTTCCTCTGTTGTGAATAGAAATGAAAAGGATACGTTTAGCTCTTCTTCTTTATGATAGTTGTATTTAACTTTCCATACATGCCCTGACCATATATCAGGCTTACAGAATACCTGGCCGTCACAACCACCATCCTTGAGAAAAATCAACACTATTGCTACTGTAATTCTGAGCTCTGTCTGTTTAGCCAAAGAATTTCAGTTCATAGGGATTGCGAGATACCTCTTGATACATTAAATTTGTTTGACTCTAAACTTTCCTTACCAGATGTGGCACAAATTTGACATTTCACCAGCTTGACAGCCCTGAGTTAAGGCTCAAGACAGAAATCTCCTGATCACGTAACCATATCCCAAGCTTAGCCACTTTTAGAAGCCATGTGCACATCTAACAGTAGAAATTAAAGCCAAAGCTGTGAAGCTCTAGAAGGGATATTTAGGCTAACAAAGACTATCAAGTTATTAAATGCTCTAGCATGAAAGAGTGAAACCGCACCTAAAAGCTGAAGCAATCAGCTACTACTGTGAAGAAGGTTTCATATTCCAGTTCCAGGCATAATGGGAAAGGGTTTTATAAATATTAAATATGACTAATGTAGGGTTGTGGTTTGTTTTTTTACAGAGGCATTTATTCCAAACTGAAGTGTCACTAGAAGGTAAAATAGAATAAATAATAATAAATGAACAGAAGCAGCTGGCATTCAACCATGAGATCTAAAGGAAATCAAATACGAAGCAGATGAATTACTAATGGTTACGAGTGAATTATCATTTAAATTTTTCTTAGTACCAAAGCAATGGAAGGTGACAAACATCAGGACAAAATTTTTAAGAGCTCCAGTTTCTCACTGAGAAACTCTCTAATCCAAAGAGCAGCACAAATAGGAAAAATATTCTGGGGAAAGCCACCTCAAACATGCCTTTTTCTTATTCCCTAAAGTCTAGGTTATGCCTATTGAATTATTCATGTTTGCTCCCATCGTGGGCTTTGGCAAATGCCTTGTGCTGACAAGGTTTACCTGAGTCCAAGAGAGGGAAACGGTGGGTGTTGAGGAGCCCAGTGCTGCTGGGAGGTCCCAGGATGCAGCTGGGCACGGTCTCATACCACCATGGAATAGCGACATTCTGAAGTGACTGGAAACTCTAAGCTTTGAACTGTCATTTAAGAGCTCTTTTGGTAGTTTCAACACCAGTCACATGTTCACACCCCTCCAGATTTTTGTGGGTAGAGAATTCTACAATTATAAATATTGAATTCTACTCAAATTATACAGATAAAGAATGATTATTACAGAATCCTTCTGTATTGAAAAAGGCGACAGCTTCTCAGCTAGCATAAATTTGTATAACTCTGCTAAAGCCCAGACTTACACCAGGAACATGATCTTTATTAGTCTAGAAGGGAAGCAGCTAAATATTACAAAGTCTATAATTTTACAGAAAAACCTGGAGTGGCTTAATTTATTCCCTTACTATAGAGTAAGCAAAAGGCATTTCCCTTGCTGAGCCTGCCTGGACAGCAGCCCCATGCTATACCCAGTGCTGCCTTAGCTTTATACATTGGGAAAGTGGTACCTTACCCTGCCCACTTCCACCAAGTTGGTGACCATGACAACGCTTGCAGAGTTTTCTTGCCAAATCATTCTCCAGAAATCCTTCACTGTCTCTTGCATCGGCCCTGGGGCAGGAGAAAAGAAAAAAAAAAAAAAAAGACATCTTAAGAGAGTGTGTTGAATGCCAACAACCCATTTCAGCTGTTCCCCAGCCACTGCCCTGCTCCCACAGGATCCTACCCTCCCTTTCAGAGCATCCCTCTGCAATTCAGGGTTACAGACACGGAATAGCCTGGAGCTGTCCAAGAGATGAGACCCTTCCTTGTAGGGGGTTATTTAGGGTTCTAGCACACTGGAACCAGAGGCGAAGGCTGTATTGTAAATAGTGGAGATGGTTCCTGTATGTAATCGCATGTAAGTGACGGGACATGGATGCACCCTATAGTGACTCTGTAATTAAGGCTCTATTGGAATTTGCACTAAAATTCTTCCATTTCACACTTTAATAATTATTCATTATGAAGGAGGAAACATGCAGAAATTAGGCTTCTTTTTAAGTTCCCCCAGGGAGAAAAAATTCAGGTTCCAACAGCCAAACAGCAAGTACTCACAAGAGGTTTATTATCCTAGAGCCTCTCTCTGACCTTGTTTCCTTCTTCTCCTCTACACTGTAGATGAATTTCACCCATGGACATCAACTAACTTACAGAAGATAGTATTCAAATGCATTTCCTACTAGTTCCCACTAACCAAAATGTCATCAGTCACAGGTTTATTCATACTGCCCTCCCCAAGCAATTTCTCCCCAGAAGGTAAACCCGAGCTCTGTAAAACCCCTTTTAGTTCTCATCTCATACTTCAAGCACAAAGGACACATTAGAGATTGTACTGCCACCTCTAAGTCTGGAGCATTTTTTATTCCCATAGCTGAGGTTTTGCATTTGAGTGCCTTAAAGATCCTGGAACATCCTATACCCTTCTCTTTTGTGCCCCTATACCGAATTTTCAGATGTTCCCCAAAACAGAAGATGTCGACCTAGAAATAGCTCTTACAACAGTTTAAAACAGCAGTGGGTTTACAAATATTTAGACATACAAGAACGGACTTGCCTTGAGTTGCAATGTAGTGGCGAGGCCGGTGGTACCCCTGGAAAAAAAAAAGAAAATATGTGATCGTGTATTTTTTGTCCCTTAAAGAAACTCTTCTGAACATTGTCATTGTCTAATGGTTGGACTTGATGATCTTAAAGGTCTTTTCCAACCTAAACGATTGTTTATATGATTTTATATTCCTAAGATTTAGGAGATGCATTCAAGAAACGCGTGTTCATTTGACCATTCTGTGCATGTGAGGGAGGCTGCTTTTTGAATGTTATTTTATAACACTAAAAAAATGTCAATCTATTTGCATGCCTTCTGCACTGCAACTTTGTAAGAAATCAATAAGTCTCAGATATCTACTAATGCTGTTGCGAGGGGCTGATACTGATTTCTGCATACGCCGTTTTGCCCACGTTCTGCTTATGTTGGTGGATCTGTCAAACACGGGAAATCTCCATCTGTCCAGATCGGTCAGACAGAACAAACTGGAGACCGAGAACCTTCTCCCTGTCACAACACAATGTTTGTATAACGTTCAGCTGTCACTCATATCTGATCAACAGTATGTCCCTACATAAGATGCACCAGATTCATAAGCAGACTTGTCAGCGGGAGTGTTTGTCACAGGGGGAATGTCCAGGAGCCTTACATCTATGTAATTGGCATTGATGTAGTCAGAGTGAGGGTCCCCATCCAGCAGCTGCAATCTCACTCTTGAATGATCATCTGAAAGAAGGAAAGAAAAAAAAGTGACAGTAACGATAAAGAGGAGTTTCCAAGTGCTTCATTTTATCTGCCGATTCCTGCAAGTGTGTAATTTAATACTTAAAATAACAAAAACCAAAAGACTATCACAGGTATTCCCATTTCTACAAGCCCTTTCTTTTGTGTTTAAGATTTAATGTTTAGATCCTTAGGTTAGCATTCATTTATACTCTGTGTTCATTAAATTCACTGCTGTCCCCATCACCATTACAGAGCTTTCAGACAGACCCCAAATGTTGCGTGGTGTGCAGGTCTCGGGACAGATCTTTGCAGGATGTGCCTCCATTACAAAAGCCATCTGTGTGCTAGGAGGTAACAGCCTCCCTGGCTTCATCTGATCTATGGAAGCTGAGGCAAGAGCTAAAACCGCCAAGATCAGGATAAAAATAAATAGGTCACGACAGAAATATAAACAATTGAGGAGGGTAAAATGGCAAATGAAATCCTGCAAATAAGATTTGGGGCAACCCAGAAACCTGAAAGGAAATGCTAAAGGGAATCAGAGCGATGTTCCTTTATCCATCCATAGAAGTCACAGCAGCAAAATGGCATCAAGGCAGTGTTAGAAAAAAAAAAAATAAAAAAAGAAATATTAGTGTTTTTGAGGACAAAGTTACTTTAGATAAGGCAATAACATAACAGATATCAATCTTTTCATCTCCCGGTGCTCTGCAGTTCAAACACAGAAAGGAACTGCCCCAGCGGGCGGATTATGTCATGATTTTCCACCAAGGGAATATTTTGATCTTTCTCAGGAACAGCTGGTGCCAGGCTGTGCCACAGGAGATGCTCCGTGCGCTGGGCTGCTGAGCTGATCTGCTCTGGCACCGCCAGCACGGGTGTGCGATCCACTGCAGAGCTGCCGTCCAAGGGCCAGGCGATGGCACAGGGCACTGCTGGCCATGCTGGGCTCAGTTTAGAAGAAGTATAATATCGAGTCCATTAAGTTTATTTCCTCTCTACCAGCTCTACAGACCCTAGCTCTCAGTAAAGTATTAATGTGTAGAAGCACTTGGCAAAATCCAGAGCCAAACATGATTTACATTCAATTAAAAAGAATCATAGCAATGAAACACAAAAACACGAGGTGCGATTCTGCAGTAACTCACTCAAAAAGGGTTTTTAGTCATGACTTAATTAGATGTAGCATCAGAGAATAATTGTGAAGACAGATGTGCATGCAGTTCTGAAAACCAAGATTTGGATATATATTAAATACTCATTTGCTTATGTAAAGGAATGATTCTCATATCCTGTTCATTCCTTGGGTGAGATTTGCACACCCCCAAAATACAAGCACATTGCTGTATTTATCAAATCCCATATTTGCATTCAGAAAAGGTTACGCAGGAGAATCCATCAAAAGCTCTGTGATGTTTGTATTAATACATATAACCTTTGTAGGCACACTGGAAGTAGATATATTTCTCCAAGTGCTGATGTTGTTCCCAACTCTAGACAATTATCTGCGCTCAAGGCAACGACACTGGGAGTTGCAGTAAATCATGTGGTTAGACAGACAACAAAAGAATTTATACTTCGAGCAATTCACACAGACAGACAAAGAGCTGATTAAACTGGACATCTAGATGAAATACACAAAATCTCCCGCAGACAATTTCACACTTGCAATTCAAGGCAGGAAACTAAGGCTGGTTAAGAGTCACACAAAACCAAAGCAAAGGAAAAAAAACAGCCTAGAGCTAATGGGAGGGAGGGGAACATTTACAAGCTCCTTTTGCGATGCCACCATATAATAATGTTATGAAAGTCTTTGGACATCTAGATGAAATACACAAAATCTCCCGCAGACAATTTCACACTTGCAATTCAAGGCAGGAAACTAAGGCTGGTTAAGAGTCACACAGAACCAAAGCAAAGGGGAAAAAAAAAACAACCTAGAGCTAATGGTAGGAAGGGGAATGTTTACAAACTCCTTTTGTGATGCCACCATATAATAATGTTACGAAAGTCTTAACACATTGCAACAATAGACCTAAGAAGTGATGAGACCAAAAAGGACCCTAATGACAGGTGAAAAGAATCTCCAGTTGAGTTTTTTAAGTTGGACAAAGACACTGTCTATGCACAGCGTGTAGAAGTGCTCTGAATAGCCCTCAAGGAAGAAACTGCCTGTGTTCCTTTACTAGACCCAAACCCCCAAATTAAGTTCCAGCTCTTTGAGCTGCTCTTTAGGTAAAAACTTAAAACAGACAGGATGAATACCTCCTGAGGGAGCCAGATGTGAAAGGCCTGAGAAGGAGAGTGCAGAGGAGGTCTTTGCATTTGAGACACTTAGGGATAAAGAGAAGATGCTCCGGAGCTGTAAGAAGTGGTGCTGGTTTTTTCCCTTTGTGAATGATACTTTTAAAAAAGGAGACATTCGGGGTTAGGTTCAATTATATTTTGGGAGCAAATGAAAAATACTTTTAGTTGAACTTTGCCTCAAGAGGACATTCAAGAGGACATCATTGCATGTTTTACAAAAATGTGATTCATTCCTGTGGGAGATTTAGTTCTCCTTTGAGTGTGAACAGTGTATCAGAAAAAAAAAAAAAAGAAATCTTTGTATATGGTAAGCACACAAAATATTAATGAAGTCTTAATGGTGGTTTTAATCTTATTCATAAGTTTAGGAGCACAATCCCCATAAAAATTCATTAAATAACTTTGTAAATCCCCCCCCCCCTAAACTTTGGCATTTATCTATCTATTTATTTATTTTAATGGGGAGGGGCAAAACCCAATGCAACTTATTATGCTACTAACAGTAACGATCTTGTACCTAGTTTTTTTCATCTATAGACTTTGAAGGGCTTTTTAAAGAACAGCAAATGGCTTCATTATATTTTCTCCCAATAGTCAGAATTTATTTCTGATTCTGCACCCTTTCCCCTGGACTACACTAGCCCAGGAGACTACCTATTTGGCACACTGAAATGAAAGTGTTGCTCAAGCCTTCTGTAAATTTATCAGACATCATAACACCATGTGTTACAAATGGATTATAAAAACCTTTAGAAATGGGGGGAGAAACAGAGAAAAATTGCATACCTGTAACATTTGGGACTGCAAAAAATGGAAATATACTTTAAAAAATGTAGAAGTTATTTCTCCCTGTTTACTTTTGTCTGTATGCAAGTTCGCAGAACTCTTAAATTTGCATGAAGAGTACTTTGACTGAAAATTGGTCTTAAAGCAGATTTTAAAAATGCCAAGAATTCCACTGAAATCATTGTGCTCCCATTTTAGCACAAAAACGTTATCGTTTCAAACTTCTGTCAAAATTCCCATTAGTGATCATTTGAAATATCATTGCAATTTTTCCACATCTCATTTTGGCACCAGCACTGGATTAATCTCACACAACTTTCGCCATCTAAATATTACGCAGCTAGTCTAAACTGGCTGTCAAGGTTCCCCACACAGTCAGTAGAAAAATACAGACATCTTTTGAGATTATTCAACCCAGTTCTGGTACAAAAGGATGATTTGCCCTCCCAAGGCACACTGTCCTCCTCTT